GTTTAGGGCCTAAGGGTTTGGGGTTTCCGGCCGGATCGGGGTCCAAAATAGTCAGGTTCATCCCCACATCCTTCACCCTAGCGCCTCTCAGCAGAAAGAGGTGCCAGGACATGCCAAAAAAAGACCCCTAAAGCCTCAAAGCCCAAGACCCTACGCCCGAAGCCCAAGACCCTAAACCCGAAACCCAAGACCCTAAACCCTTCAAGACAAAATCCCCAAACCCTAAACCCGAAGCAACACCCTCATGACGTGAACGTGCTCTGTGCCGACCCTGGGAAGCCAGAATTTCCGCGAGACATCTCCGAGAGGTCTAGGGCTAGGGTTTAGGGTGAGATGGGCTTTGGGTATGGCTCTTCGTTACCATCCATACTGTAGTAGATACCTGTGCTGCGTATATATATATATATATTGTGCTATCAGTCGTTGTCAGCGTAATTGCTTTTCTCGAATGCAGCGTTGCGTTCTAAAGTTGCATTCCTGATGAGGACCTTCCTCATGCACTCGCGATTGCATTGACAATGATGATGAGGATGAAACTCACGGCCACGACGGTGGTCATGCTGGTGATGGCGATGATGATCGCGACATTCCGGGCACCATAGCCGGACCATGATTCTGGGTACTCGTCGCTGCGCGATCCATAAGGTTTGGCTGCTCGATTTGCTCTTGCTTGTGCAGGTATCCACCTACACGAAGATCTATGCGAGATTCCATGTACACAGCGCCTCTCAAGCGAAGAATCCCATGGCCGTCGCGGAGTCTTTGGCTCATGCTTTCTTTGATATTTTAAATATAAGGAACCTTAGAGGTAAAACGGGGAGGAGGGTAGGGTACTCTACTTCCGCAACGAGGCCTGGTATGATCCTATCCACGTCTGCTTTCAGCTTGCCTCAGTGTAGCAGCCAGTGCTCGGCCAGCAACCCTAAACCCTAAACCCTAAACCCTAAACCGAAAACCCCGGCACCTGAAAGCCTCCACTAAACTCTAAGCCCTAAGCCCGAAAGCCGAGGCCCCCCTTACCCCGACAGCCTGAATCGTAAACCGGAAGCAGAGAAAGTGAGGTGGGGAACCTCACAGCCAAAAGCTTAAGTTTAGGGCCGTTTAGGGTTTAGGGTTTAGGGCTTAGGGGTTTAATGCAGAGGCTTTCGTGCAGGTGGGGCTCTGCGAAGAGAGAGCTTTTTATGGCGGCCATACCAGTGTTCAGTTTCTTTTGATTTTGGTTTGCGGTTCAGGTTTCCTGTTTAGGGTTTTCACGGTGTTTAAGGGTTAAGTTTCCGGGTTTGGGGTGTGGGGTTTCTACGGTTTTTGGTGCTGTTGCCACGACGACTACCGCAGTCACGTGTTGCGCGCGTGCTCGAATTACGTATAGTTTCTCCTGGAGTACGAGTTGCCGTGGGAGAAGTCTTCCCGCAACCCTATGAACGCTGCACTCTACAATCCACGAAGCCCCAAAACCCGAAACAGCGAAGCCGAAAACTGTAGCGTGCCATAACGATGGCCGGTTGCAGTGGTTGCGCAACATCTGTAGGCAACGAAAAGTTGCCATTGAGACAAAACCTGCACCGTGGTTGAGAGCTTCTGGGTTAGCGTTCTAAATCCTACAGCCTAAAACCTAAACCCTAAACCCTAAACCCTAAAGGGTCTAGAGTTTTAGGGACTTCAGGTTCAGAGTTGTCGGAGAAGCGCCGGTAGCAGTCATTGTGAGTTTTGCCATGGCGTTCAGGACTTCCTTGGTGAGCAAACCCTAAACCCTAAACCCTAAACTCCCCTAAACCCCTGAACCCTAAACCCTAAACCCCTAAACCCCTAAACCCTAAACCCCTAAACCCCTGAACCCTCAAGCCTGGCACTTTCCAGAAAACGACGCGCCGTCATGAAGAGGAGGGCCCCTCGACTTCCGTCGCTGGGGTCCGGCTACTTGATGTCCTCCAGTCCTGCAAGAAAGGACACCCTAAACCCTTGGTCTAGACTTATAATCCTAAATCCAGGATCCTAAACCCCTGAACCCTAAACCCCTAAACCCTAAACACCTAAACACCTAAACACCTAAACCCTAAACCCTAAACCCCTAAACCCTTAAACCCTAAACCCTAAACCCTAAGCCCTAAACTGAGGAAGCTGTTGGAGCGGACCTGCTCTTCACGACCTGCTATGTCGTTGTACCACTGCTGCAGCGGGTTATGAGGATACACATGCTGCGGGTGGGCCAGTGGATTGAAGATCATAAGACCCTTGGACATTTTTTTGGCAAACGGTTTACTGCCCTAAACCCTAAACCTGTATTCTTGTCAAAATTGAGAGAACCGTGGGCGGCAAATGATGGAGTTTTCGACCCTTGTTCCCGACTGTCTCCCTGCATGTGGGCTCTTGAAGCCAAAACCAGGAATCGCTCTGATTTGACTACAACTGTTTGGGGTGTTTGGTGGTGTAATTTTGCAGCGGTCGCTCGTCCTCGTTTTGGATTACTGGCTTCATCGCAGTCGGACATGCGCAACGATATTCCTCGACTCAGCAACAGCTTGTCCACTCAGAAATAGATTTAGCAGCAGTAGCAGCAGCCGCTCTCATTGTTGTCGTCCTCGTGCAGTAACCTTTAAACCCCTACACCCCTAAACCCTCCAACCCTAAACTCTACGCAAAAAAAACCCTGCGCCGTAAACCCAGGCCCAGATTCCTTTCGTGGTTGGAAGCCTGAATTGCAAAGCCCAAGGTTTCGTTAGCCCGGGAGGGCCATCTCATTTTTGTTGTTCGTGTGTTTTCGCAGTCTCGCATTGCCAAGGAGCGTTTAGGGTTTAACCCTAAACCCTAAACCCTAAACCAAAGCCTTGAAACCTCAACCCTAAACGATCCTCGCCCCTGAACCCACCAGCCCTGGGAGGAAAGACAGCCAAGCTGACTGGGTCGGAGAAGCGAAAGATCGCGCCAGCAGCATTCTTGGTAATATGAAGGAGAAGTTCGAGAAGCTCTTCCGAGAGGACCATTTTTGTTCAGGCAAACCCTAAACCCTAAACCCTACACCCTCAACCCTAAACCCTCAACCCTAAACCGTAGGCTTCCAGACCGCTTATAGAAGGTTTCTATGGGTTCAGGGGTTTGTGTCGATGGGTGTTCCCCGCCAGTTCGAGCATTCCCGGCCAGGGTGTTTCCAACGCATCTTCTCAGTAGGATGCTTTTGGTGCCGAGGGCAATTTGGGTAGAGGGTGTGGAGAATAGAAACTGAACTCGAAATCCCAAACTAAGCCATGCAAGACACCAAACCTGCCCTATAGAGTTGTGTTATGGGAGGACGGACAAACCAAGGATGTGGGGGATGGCTGCTTGGGCGGTGGCGGCTCTTTCTGCAATGATATTGGCTTCTACAACTCTCCGGATGGCTTTTTCGTGTGACTCAGAAGATATAGAAAGGTTTAAAAGGTGCCATTCTCCCCACCAAGGGGCCTCAAACCCCAGGCCACCCACAACGGTGAGCAACACCCATGCCGTTGTGGCAAGGGTATCACCCTCACTCACCGCATTGTTGCTGTGCTCCACTCTACTGTAGGCATCGTCAGTGTCACTTTTCAATAACGCTATAGGGTACCGTGCCATGCCAGTACATATTCTCGACGTCTTTGCTCTCAATGACTCTAAAGCCTAAACTCTCGAAAGCCTGTCGGGCCTGAACCCCGAGACGTGTATAGACCTCAGCCCCTAGTGCTGCTTGCCATCCCCGTTAATGAGTTTCGACAAGCGACGAGTTAGATGCAAGGGGTGGGAAAGAAACTTAGTAGACCTCTTGTGAATGTCTGGGGAGAACGAAACCGTTTCGTGAGAGCATGAAGAACATGAGCATGCCATCAGTAGATACCAACACCCCTTGGATAGATCATTCGGCAACGTAGAAACTGCACCAAGACCTGTGCTACTGGGGAACCTCCGCTGGCCCCTAAACCCTAAACCCCAAACGGACCTAAACCCTAGCGGTTTAGGGTTTGGGTTTAGGGCAAACCCTAAGCCGTTTAGAGCCCCGAAGCCTTGTGTCTCCAGCCGAGGCCGTGGTACTCGAGGGGCTTGGTTGTGGTCTCCACGCTCTGCGTTTGTGGTGGTCTGGCTTACCTACAGTGGACCCTGGGGCACAACATGCATCTTGGATGTGCCACCGACCCTCCTAGACGAACCAAAACCTGAAGCCCTAACCCCACTATTCCTGAACCCCAAACCCCAGGCCCAAAACCTGAAACCCTCAATGAAGCCTTTTTCCCAAACCCCAAACCCTCATAGCCGCAAAGCCTAAACCCTACTTCCCAATCCCTGAACCCTAAACGATTAACCCCAAATGCCCCGAGAGAGTCCGAAACACGGCGCTCCACCGCAGACCTAAACCCAAGCTCCTACGTCCGAAAGCCCGGCGCTTTCGAGGTTGAGCCGTTTCGGTTTCAGGGGTTAGGATATGATTGGTTGGCGAATGTTGCGGTTTGGGGTTGAGGGCGTGGGATTTACGTTGTAGGTTTCGGGTGTAGGATTGGGGCAAGTCTAACGATGGATTCATCAAGCACATGATCTGAAACTTGAAAGCGGTCCTTAAAGCCTAGAAAACCCCAAACCCCAAACTCTACAAGCAAAACTGAAAACCTGAAACCCTAAAGCCAGGATCTAAACCCTGGGTAAATCCTGCTTGGAGGTTCACGGGTAGCTATAAGTGGGGTTATAAGTAAGGTAACTATAGTTATAACTTATAACCCATATTAGGGGACGTATAACCATACTTATAACTACCTATGAACCTCCAAGTCAGAACCCCAAACCGCATAAAACCCCAAAGTCTAAACCCCTTAACCCCGACACCCTAAGACCCGCACGCACCACAAGTTTTCAGAGCAAATCTCCCACACATCGAAAACCCCGAACACCTACAGAGCCCAAAACCCCTAAACCCCTAAACCCTAGACCCTAAACGCCTAAACCCTAAGACCCTAAACCCTAAAGCCTAAACCCCTAAAGCCCTAAACCCTAAACCCCCAAAAAAAACCCCAAAAAAGACCCCACACCCCTAAAGCCTAAAGCCTAAGACCCTAAAC